TTTTTCCCCCTTTCCTGGTCGGGACTTTAGATAGACCTTGAGTTCCGCAGTGAAGCATCTCCTTACTCAGAGAGGTCATCATGGCCAACCTTCCCAATCCAATCACCAATCATGTGTGCCAGGCACAGTATGCATTTCAGATATCCCTTTAGAGTAGTGGTTCTCAACGTGGGGGTCAAATGACCCTTTCACAGGGGTCGCCTAAGACCATCGGAAAACACCTCTTTCCTATGGTTGGAGGTCACAACATGGGGGACTATTAAAGGGTCGCGGTATTAGGAAGGTTGAGAACCCAAGCTCTGGAGCCTGAAGTTGGTTGAGCCTTCAGTGTTTGGCCAGGGAAAGGCTAGGGCTGCTAAAGGCGCTACTCTGCCACCCTTCTGACCAGTCTAACAGATCTTACTACTTTAGTTCACAGTTTATGATACCATAACATTTAACTTCTTGACATATGAACCCATTTATTCAACAGTTATCCCTGTCTGAGATCATTAAAAAAAATTTTTTTTAATTTAAACAAATTTGTTAAGGACTAAGAAAAAAAGTTTGAAAGGCTAATATACCAAAATGTTAGAAATAGGTATCTTTGAATGCTACCATTACCCAGTGATTTCACTACCCCCTCCTTCTTTTTGCTAAATCTGTTTTCGAATTTATCTGCAATGAAAAAATATGTATTACTGAGGGGCAGGGGTAGCTCATTGAAAAACACGTCAAGGGCTCCTACTTGCCAAATCCCATGGTTACACCCAAGGCTCCGTTTCTCTGGACTCTGCTGCACCAGGACACCACTCCCAATTCTCTTCCTAGTCTCGGGCTGATCATTTATCAATGTCCTGCCAGTGTGCCATTTTCTTGAGCTAGTCCCAGCGTTCTGCTCTTCCCTTTTCTTTTCCGCTTAACACTAAAGCTCACTGAATGATCTCACCTAGACCCATGGTTTTATGAAGATTTCCAACCCATAATCACTGCCGTTGAGTTGATTCCTACTCAGCAACCAGGTAGGCCGGGGCAAACTGCCCCTGTGAGTTTCCAAGACTGTAAACTCTTTACGAAAGTAGAAAGGCTCTTTCTCCTGAACAACGGCAGGTGGTTAGTAGACCAAAGAATCACCCACTAAGCCACCCGGGGTCCACACTATGACTCATTTCTACCAATACTTTAGAAACCTTTATCCAAGTTTCTCTCCTAGTCCATTATTAGAAAGTTCTTCTCGGTGCCCCATAGGGATGTCAATATTATCATGATTCATAATTCTCCTCTCTGTCAACTAGTTCTCACTTTCATATTCCCCATCCCATCAAGAGGCAATCTAATTTCCTAGGTGTCTCATTTGCTCAATTTGTCCCTAACCTGCCTTTAAGTCCTATTGATTATGGTACATAATATGTTCACTTATCAAGAAGTACACCCAAGATTAAAATTAATGCCAAATGTGTTAGTACTCATTAGTCAAACACTATATACTTTCATTTTGGAAAGGGAGAACAAAAATAGGCTGTCTATAATTTGGGAAATAAGTCCAAAATCTATTTTAGACATGGATCCATTCAAGAGTAAACTAAACTATCAGTCCTGTCCTATTTATCGTTATTATTTTTAAAGGTACTCGTAACTAACTTAAAATTTTCTAAGTGATATTCACGAACACATCCTGAGAATAAAAGGAAGGTCATACCGCATGGTCTTCTGAGTAATCAAGCCTCCTTTTTAAGAGAAGCATATCAACAGTAGACTAATTACCAATTTTGAAAACAATTAGAATTTTAAAACACAGCAAATGAAACTGAATCAACAATTTATTCCATTACCTTTCTCAGGGTCATCATGGATACAAATGATCACTGTCAAGATGTACTGGTCACACTTAATGGTGATTAACGAAGACTGGGTATCAGCATTCGGAGACTTGAGAGTAGGCTGCTGTTTTCTACTTCATTAATGTTATTTTGACAGTGCCTCAGACATTCTATTTTTCACTTCCTGTCAAACTAACCCTCTCCATTCAAGTTATCACTTTCTCAAAAGCTAATCTTCACCTTTATGAAAATTATGACATTTAAAGAAAAGTAAAAGAAAACTTTTTAAAGGCGATATTAGACTTAAAAAAAAAAAGTAATTCAGGTTCCAGGTACAGCATAAGGCAAAGGGGCGTGAAGGGGGCATGGGTTAAGAAGAAATTGGTGAACCAAGTCAAACGACCTTGAGAGAAGACAGCACCCAGCTCACTGAGGGAAATTACTAACAGGTAGAATCTTCTGTCCGTGGTCTCAGGTCAGACTGAGGTGGGAAATAGGAATCAAGACAGTCTTTAATCAAAAATCGTGGTGGGGGCAAAGAAAATAGAGGAAGACAGGGAGAAAGAGAGACAAGCACTGACTACAACTGACACTCATCCAAGAGCAGCTGTGGACACCCACGCCTGCCTGCCCGGGAGTGGAAAGTTCGAGCAGATAAGCAAAAAATATCAAGCAGACAAGATAGGAATGAGTACTCCCTAAGACTTCCTTTGTCTGGGCCTGAGGCCTATGGAGAGAAGTCATTCCATTCTTCCAGTAAATTTCCCCCTTTAACTTCCCAAGTTGATTTTTTCCACTCAACTTATAACCATGGGCACCAATCTAGTTTTAGAACTAAAATAACTGTACTTTACTCAAGTTACTCAATCTTTCTTGGCCTTAGCTTTGCATTTGTAAAACAAGGGCATTAGACATGATCTCTCTTTTTTTGTTAAGTCATAGGATTCTCACTTGTGTACTCTGTGCGTAATCAGTAAAGTGCTTAGGACAGTACATGGCCCAGAAGTACTCCATACTGTAGCGTTAAAAGTGTATTCTTATACCTGCTTCATTTGGTACTAATAATCAATTTCATAAGTGTGACACCCCCCCCTTAACAATTAACTTTGGAGAAGCCTTTCACCCTAGCAACAGGACTTCTAATCCCAGCCCACCCTTCTCAGTAAATCTCACAGGACCCAGACCAACGAATTTCATAGGTGAAGGAAAGTCCTGAAGGGAATCGACTTTTTATTCAAGGTCATGCAACTAGAGTTAAGAATGGAACCTGAAAAGAAAAAAAAGAATGGAACCTGATTTGCAAAACATACAAAAAACTATGCTGTTGGAAAAGGCGAAGGTTTTAAAATCACAGAGCACTTATGATTACTTACCCCATCTGTGTGACCTGTCGAAATGCCAGTAACTTCCTGCCCATGGTTTCTGCCTATGTATTAGGAATACTACTACCATTAACCTTCTTGAGTTGTGGTGGTGCTTACATGAATTACCAGAGACTAAATATCTATTCCATAGCAAGGCATCCTATTAAGAGTCCAGTGTTCAGTCATCCAGTTGTCTAATGTTCCTTGTCACCCACGAGCCCAGAGACTAGATGTCCGTCCCTCAATAGAATTTTGTAAGAGACCAGGTGATATACTATTAGCTGAAAGACTAAACTTCATTTTTACACGGGCACCCTTTTCCTTTTTTTCCTTCACTGCACTTGTTTTCTAACTTCCCTAATACCTCTTTTACACTTACAGCAGTCTATGAGAGGACCATCAAAAAGTTCATTTTGTCCACACTGTTGAAGCACCCTGGCAGAGTAACTCTACCTGTGGTCAACGGAGATGTCACTAGCCATGAGACTGTTGAGCACCTGAAACTAGTGCATATTGCAAAATAAACACCAGACTTTGAAGACTTAGTATGAAAAAAAA